TTGACGAACTTATTCGCTGTTACGGGGCACTATGCATTGCTAGTAAGGGATTATTTAAATCAGGTCTTTCCCAATCGCTGGATAGGTTAAAGGGGTCAAATTGAGTGGCCAGCGCGATCGCCCGATTTGAACCCTTTAGACTTCTTTTTACGGGGACATCTTAAAAACCGCGTCTATGTAAACAGGCCTTAAAATTTGGACGACCTAAGACACCGCATTCAAGCCGAGATCCAGATGATCACTCCAGCGGTACTGGCAAACGTACAACGCTCGTTTGTAGACAGGCTGTTCCATTGCCAAATAGTTAACGGTGGACACTTTGAGCAACTGCTCTGATTGGCTTTCCAAAAAACATTAAGCAACGCATAGATTGTGTAAGTTTGTCAAAATACCAAAATCTCATTCGGCGGCAAAAAACCTGATTTTCTCAAAAATTTTCTTATGTAACCCCCCAGATGTGGCACATCAATGTAATCAGGACAACGGTAGCTATCCAAAAATGCAACAAAAATAAAGGGTTGCAATTTAAAAAAAACTGACTTTGATTGTGGCGCCGCCAAGCGGCAGAATTTGGAACAATTACATATGCTAAAATATTGCTAGAAAAATAACAAAGTTGACGTGTTTCAGCGTTTTTTTTAAAAAATTACCGTTTTCAAAATAATCACATGTTCCGGGACTTTACGGACACACTGTATATGTAGGTATATTATTAATTTAGTGTAACCTCTTGACGTTGTGATGACCTTATGGCAATAAAACTATTAATAGTATTATTAAAGGCGGTAACCTTTATCCTATGTATTTTAAGTATTTGTTTATTTGCAAAAAAGTTTATCGTTACAAAGTACCTACTGATTGACCATTTGATTTTGCGCCCCCAAAATGTTGCGCCTGCGTGCGTGCACGCACTGCACGCTCGCCAGGAACGGCCCTGGTCATGAGTAGTAAAACCTTAATTCCGAGATAATGACCGTAAAAGATTTTTGAATAATAACATTATTAAACATTTGTAAAATTATATTAACTTACAGTAGGTATTTTCTTTTGCAAAGGAAGAACCACACAAAGATTCTGAGCCAGTTAAAAATTAGATTTTAGAAAATACTCTTTTTGGATAAGAGGTATTTGTAGATATGTCTGTGTTGCCAAAGAAGGTGTGCATCAATTTTGGGGATATGTCTGTGTTGATGAAAATATGTGCATGAATTTTGCAGATATGTCTATATTGCTAAAAATGTGTGTTGATAAAGTTTTTAATTATTATGAATTACGTATATGAGAAACGTATGACTGGCCCCATCGGTAACGCCTTACACTGATTTCCCAGGGTTATTTTACCCCCTTTCAGTTCTTCTACGTATCTCGCCACTGCACTGCATTGGCGGATCCGAATTTTCACCCCGTCTGTTAAATCTCGCCTAGGAGGTCGTGAATGACAGTGCCGATGGTTAAGGCCAATCCCGAAATTTTTTCGCCGGGCCGGGCCATACGCCCGATTTAGGCCAGTGGAGTGCGGAGAAGCAGGGACAACATTTTGGTTTTTGAGGGACATTGAACCGACACAAAACTAAGTAAAATCCGGAGTCTCCGTCAAACAGGGATTTAGTTATCACCCCATTCAATTGGGGCTCATAAATGGGGCTTGGTTAGTACACTGCTAGGACCTATCTTTGCTGGTCTTAAAGTACTTCCTGTTCGTATTTAGCGGTAGTTTATTATTTCGCATAGAACGTAATTTATGGTTCCATTAAATGTGCTTAGTAATCTACAGATGTTGATTTTTTTAGGATGAGTTTCTTTTGCCTAGTGTTTATCTGAACTTGAGTGATTAATGACTGCTTATGTAAGCCCTTATTTATGAGTTCTTTTGGCTATTCTTGCTGTTCTTATGGAAACTGTTGGCGTCTAATTAATTTTTACCTGGTGGAGTTCTTTATAAGTTGAGGTTGCAAATTTCGCATTAGAAATTTAGTATTTAGGTATTATCAAGGTCATCCATCATTTTGGTAGATTTACTTATACGGTTTATGCAGACTTGGACTTCAGGTGCATTGACAGGCAGATGTTGTGAAATTATTTCTTAACCTCGACAGCCAACTATTAGCACATGTTGTTTCTGTGTTCGTAATCCAGGAAAAATTATTTATTGTATATATTGGATATCCAATCACCTCACTAACCCTTTTTCACAGGTAGAGCACTTTGAGACTTAATCCAGGAGGAGGTTCCACACACAATTTTCACCATTTTTGCGCTTGGTTCTGGTATATTAAGTGTATAATCATTAATTGATTTTATGAATTTGAACACCGATAGCGGTGGTAGCACTATGGAAGGACGAACGCGTTAAACAAGACCCTAGGCACACGACTGTTTGCCTTAGGGTGAGGAGCGTCACTTATTCATTATTTTATTCCTGAAATTTTTTTTTAACAAAATTACTGTCACAGGCTACTTACTTATGACACTGTTGATGAAAATTATGATATGGATTATACAAATTGCAAACAGACACAAGTCTCCATCTACGGATTAATAATAAAAATCACACATAAAAAAATCTATTAAAATACATACTTTTTTTAGTAATCTAAAATACTTTTTCATAGCAAAATCATTAATGTTTTTTTCAGAAGCCCGGTACTGAAATCCGGCCCTGATTAAACTCTTTATATAAAATACAAGTCATTCCAACTAACAGTTCTACACATATTTTGAACTATACCTATTACTTTTTTACTTTTGCAAATTTTGTATTATTAGAAGATAGAATCGGCAGCTATGTTTCCGCTATGATCTAGCTTATGCAATACTTGCATAAATAAACGCAAGAAATGCAAGAAAACTATAGAAAAAGGATGCAAGATAACTTAACCTAAACACCAAAACACTGATCTCTCAAAAATACCATTAGGACAAATTCACGATACAGGTGCGTCTTTTTAAAATTTGTATTTAAAAATGCTTTGTGTTTAGGTTAATTGTAAGTTAAATTTAATACATAGTATATTATTATACGAGAGGTAATGCAGGTTATTATTCTCGAGTCGCCAGAAGAGACACTTAAATCATCCGAGTAAAAAATGAGCAAAATCTTGAGTGTGACACTATAATTTATCAATTTCAATAAGTAAATAATTAAATGATTTTCAAAAATTAATAAATAAAATCTGACATCTTTCAAATTTTTAATCTCACTTTTTACCAATTTTAAATGTTATTATTGCTGCCTTCTCCCAATTTAAAACCCGATTGATTAAAATCACAGTGAATATTGAAATCGGCCAGTCACTGATGTCCACCAACGTAAATATATGAGTACATTATTTTCGTTGTTTGGCAGAAAATTTATAATGGTTATAATTATATTTCTATTTTTGCGGTGTTAGTTTGTCTGTTTTGTATATCTTTAAAAATATGTTTTCTTTTAAATTATCTGTAAGTATTGACAAAAAGGTAAAGTTTGCCTTGAAGGCAAAGGTACAGGGGCCACAAGTATGATCCGCCACTGAGGGGGTGTTTTAAATTACCCTAATGTAGTGTTTGTTATATCTGAGGAACATGACCCATTTCCGTTCAACTGCACAGATACTGAAGTCAATTAAAAATCGTTAAAAATCTGCAAAACAAACTTATTTTCAGTGCCGCTTGAGTATGAGTTAGGTTTATTTTAATTATTACTAATTAAAAATCCTACATCTAAAAACGTAACGTATAAAAATTACAGCCCACGCGAATTTTAAATCACCGTGAATTTTCGTTTTTGGAATCCCAAAGGACATTCCCACAAAGTTTAACATAGGCTGGCTTTGCCAATTCGATGATTTTAAATGGAATAACTCATACAGTAAGTCAATATTGTTAAACAATAAATAACAACAAAAAGAAAACTATCTGTAAGAGTGAAAACTTAGTTATCTTGAATTTGCTTCTCTAGGTTAAAAAAACAACAATAAACAAATTTTAAGGGACCTCACGCCATCCTTTAGGGTGTAAATAGTTTTTTGAAAATGCAGACCCTAAAAATTATTTTAAAAAGAAAATTATTTTAAATTAAATAATAAAATTCCCACTTTTGGAAGGTAATGCTAATATCAAATAAAAACAATTATCTTCACCCTATAGGGTGGTATATACTCGTATAGTAGTATCAATTTGTATGGTATATGTATATACTAATGCTTAACACTTAACACCCCCACTATAGTGTTAGTGCGCGATATTGGGCACACCCTGCCTAATAAATGTTAAATCTTGAATTTGAAAAAAGGCAAATATAATAACAACCGTAATTTATTTTTAAGCGTATACAGTTTTTTATATTATAACACTCATAGACCTATATATCGCAGTTTAAAAGTTAAATTATTATACACCGCCATAATGAAAATACAGTAAAATTACAAAGGAAGAGTGGTTTTATCTATTTATTTTAGGCTCTAAATTAGTGTGAGTAACTGTAAAATATAGGTTACTGTAGGATAAATTTGTGAACATAACCTATTATAGGTTCAAACTTCAATATCATCTACCTTTAAAAAAATGTCGCAAACTAAAGTACAGAATTATGAAACGCTTGAAAAAAAACTGCCTCGCTCAGATCTGCAGCCTCGGCTAGCGCCTTGGCAGCGAACAATAAGCTACGCTATAAGAGCTTTCTGTTAAATAATGTACTATTATTCAACAACCGCAAGAAATATGGTATTTTGTTGCCCTGCTGAGAGTGGGCGAAATAATAAATTCCATGATTGATTATTCCTTTAAACCGTGGGCGAAATGTTATGGCCAAAAGTTAGCTAACTTAAAATTAAAAAAGTGCTTGACAGTTGCCAGAATTCAGATAAAATAATAAAAAAGTTGACTTTGAATTCCTGGCGTTAGTTGAATAAAATATTTTGTACGACTATTGGTCAAAAGAGGAGATTTCACTCGCGTGTTACTCCACACTCTAAGAATCTTCTGTTTTCCACTAGTCGCAAAATATACTAATACTTTACCTTATAAATTCCAATCAGCAACAGTAATGATGTGCAGAGACCAAGTGCCGAAAATGATAGAATTAAGGCTGTAAATGTAGTTGTGGCTAAAATAAAAACAAAGTTTTACTAGCAGTGTTTGAAAAAAATTTATATACAGTATGTAATATGACCATATTGTACCGTGCATTTTGTACTGCATAATCGAGTCATTATCATTTTGTTTCTTGTTTACAAGATATTGTTTAAATTATTGTCTTAACGTACTTGTTTGATTTTATCATTTGTGTTTATGGTGAAAAATATATCCATATTATTGCCTTTAAAGAATTGGATTTATTTTTGGAATACTTGCCTTGTGAAGTAGTGTCATGATTTATAAATGATGCTCGTGGAGGTAGACTAAAGTTAGCTTGATAGTATGCTATTACTTCTTTTAGTTCAACTGATGTATGAATTGAATTAATTATATACCAAATCTGTAACAATTAAAAATCATTATTTACATTGCATTATATATGTATATATATATATATATATATATATATATGAGCTATAACATATATATATAGTTTTATAAAAATAATAATGTTATAGCTCAGTAATCGCTATCACTTTTAATAAAGAACCTACATTTTAACAGTTTTTTTATATTACTGTGAATGCAATAAAGTTAACTAAATGTATAATAATTTTAAAAATCTTAAAAATGTAGGCAATAAATTTACTTTTAAGCAAATGTTTTTAACAACTCAGGTTTTGAGCAATTAGTCCCGGCGCATTCGCCATTTTTAAAAAGTCGCCGCGGTAAATGTTTTCCGTTGCGTTACCAATTTAAAATGTCAAAAACAGGTTTGTCGAATACATCCAACATAAAACTATACAAAGAAAACAGCTAATGGTTCACAAATTAATGACGGAAAGTTGGCCCTAAGCGAGGTGTGGACTAAAGTTTATTTATAGCCTTCTATATCAAAAACTAAGTAGGTTGAACCTAATTCTGTTTTCTATTGAAAAGACCGGAAAATTTTAGGCATGAAAAAAGTGGTCAATACAGGTCCGGGGTACATAAATTGTTAATTTGATATTACTAAGTTATAATGATTATAATATTAGTTATTTTTCATTTTTGTAAATTCACACAACCTTCCAATTTTTTTTACAGAATCTGTGGCAACCCTAGTTTTATTTGATTGCAAACTATTATTATGGCAATTTGAAAAAGCTTTGTCTTTCTGTTAAAAGGATTAATTATAATTATTTATTTATTAAATATTAGTTCAAGGTCCATTTATAACCACACAACTGTATAAATTAAAATGTAATATGTAAAAGAAACTTTTAGGCCACATCCTTTATTTTTATGTTTTGTTCTTTTTTTTGTAAATACAGTAGTTTCTGGTTTAAGCCCTTCCTGTACATTACTTAGGTACCTATACTAAATTTTAAAAGTATAATTGTTTTTGATATTGGAAAGTTTTGTTAATTTTTTCATTTTGCGATTTGTTAACATGTGAACTATGTTAGGAAAGAGAAATGAATTTTTTGAGACTTTATAATTTCTCATAAAGTCTAATTATATCAAGTTTTTATTAGCAATTTAATTACTTTGGCAACAAATTGTTTAGTAATTTTTTAGTTCCCTCATTATACCTAGGAATTACACCAACCAGTTTCCTAAGGCTTCGTCACAGCCATCTTTATGTTGTATGTATTTTTGTAGGAGCATTTGATTGTTATTCTCTACAAATACGTTCTGGTTCTAATACATCTTGCGCATGTTTCTTTTGTTAAGTTTGTTTCTTTCCGCTGATTTTCTTCTTAGTCTTATTTGTTCAATTAATCCAAAAAAATCACCCAAATCTATGTCAGAATCGGATTAGTCCGTGGAGGTTATAGAAAGATATCTTGTTGTTTAGCTGTAGGTGTCTTTTTCTTAGATATATAAGATGGACATGCTTCTCCTTCGTCTTCTAGTGACACATTTCAATTATTCTTTGAAAGCTCAACTTTTTTATCTCTTTGTTTTATTGATGCTATGGTCTCATTCTCTGCCAAACTTTTCCTAAACTTGGTATGGGTTTACTGTATACATTGCAAAGCCATCCTTTAATTTTTTTTATGTATTAGCTTCTATAACATCTAGTGTCTACTCTAATTTCCTAGAAAACAAGTCTTTAGGATTAGCAGTCTCAGCAAACACAGGCAAAGTGCCTGTACGGGTGTAGCAGCAGAATGTCGTCCGGCCCATTTTAAAACATATATTTTTACTGGGCCGGCAATGGACCCCAAATAATATATTAAAACCATATCTAGAAATACGTTCTTAAAAAAAAGGTTTTATATCAGAAACTGTTATGAATACATAGTGATCCATATTATATTTTAAAATTTCCATATTTTCATTAGTTTTAAAGAAAATTTCCTTTTAAGCTTTTCAAACTTCAAACGTCAGTTTCTCTGCTTGTTGATTTACGTTACTATTGCATTTACGGTGCAAAATATTGTTTTTATTTTTAATATACCTATTTATTTTTAATATACCTATTCAAAACCTAAAATATTAACAAAAATAAGGCAAAAGTCTTATCCTGTGTATTACATGATCCATAACGTTTTTATGACGTTCCGCGTATTCCATTAATTTTCCTAATTTGTTATGAGATCATTAAGTTTATATTATTTTTCATTAATTCATTACGAGTAAATTGACGTAAAAACAGATTTTGAATAAACTCGATCGTTCGAATTCACGCTACACACACGTGGATGACCTTGTGTCTTATAATTTGACAACCGATCTCTAAAAAACCGGAAACCAGAGTTCTTTAGATTAAGAAATGGTGTAACACTATACGAAGTTTATTTTGGTTATACAAGACTTATAAGTAAATTAAATCCCTTAAAGTTTATGTAAACTATTTTTCAGCAAATTACTGACATAAATCAACACAACATAACAACGTAGCTTAATCGTATATAATGCTCAAGTTAAAACCATAGAAAAATAATAAAACAAAGAAGTTATGTTGGACAAAACTTCATTAAATCGTCTATTTGCTTTCGCGGAAAATCCTGTAGGATATATGCTATAAAAGTGTTTAACACATAAATCTTCCAGCAAAATCAAACAATGTGTAAAGTTTTTTAGAAAAGAGAGTGCATCTAATGCACTGTGAAAACTTCACACATTGTTTAATTTTGATGGTAGATTTATGTGTAAAACACTTATTCGGCGAAAATTTGTTATTCAGTAATATTTTTTTATGCTTTGCTTTACCGTTGTTAAGATTTTTTTCAACCCAAATTCTGTAAAAAAATTTTGAAATTCATGACCAAAAGAGGGCCCAGTATGTAAAACAGAGTAGGTACTGTTATATTTCACGGCCATATATCATTTTATTTTATACAAAAATTTTATTAAAAAAAAAAATATTTCTAAGAAAATAAAATAGCTAAAACAAATACTATTTTTAAATTTATAAAATTTAAATAAATGTCATTGTTAAAAATAAATAGGACCCAACCTAATTAAAGAGTCCAAACTGAAGGCATCTCGCCTATTAGTTAAGGCGGAAAAAAAATATAGAAAAAGGAAAGTAGGTTTTGTTTATTGCAAAAAACGTCTAGTCCTACCAGATAAAGTGGCATATATGGTTCTTAAAAGACCGTTAGGGGTATAAGTAACAATAATATTTATTTACGTGTGAGCTGGAAGTTCGTGGGGTGAGCGACGCAGGAGCGAATCCCATAATCCAGTGAGCCTAGTAAAGATTAATTGCATAGCGTGACACGTACATTTCCACCTTTGGATAAAGATTTTTAAATTTAAAATTTCGATTAATGTGCCAAATGTGACATTTCATTTCATAAATTGCTTTTCTACAAGCCTGTTAAACTTTAAAGGTCTTTTATACAAGCCCGTAAAATATTACAGGTCTGTTTTCATAATGTACCTATCGTTTACTTGGATACAAAAACAACAAAATTAACCTAAAAAATGCCATTTACTATAAGAAATAAAATAACATTCTGGTACTAGGGTCCTATAATTGTCTCATCTGATCAATTGCACACCAACTGACAAAGCTTATTCCAAAATTATTATAGTCGCCTTCATTTAACATCTCAGCCACGTTACTCGGCAATGTAAGGTAATTAAATTAAATACTATTGCAATAGTTATTATTGCAAACATGTTTATTATGCTTGTAATATTTAAGCTTAATAATTACAGTTGTTTTTACTAACAATTTTTGATTATCACTGACGCTTCAAAAATTGCCGAGTAACGTGGAATGGCTGATCTGTCAAACGGATTTAACCTCAAGTTCTCCCAATTAAATTATTTTTTCTTTATATCTTTAAATACAAATTATTTAATAGTAATCAAATTTTGTTCCAAATTTATAAACAATGTTAAAAATCATATTTATGTAAATATAGAGTAAAACCGAATATAGGGAAACGTTTTGGGCGTGGCCTCGCCTCCCTCCAACGCGCGTCACAGTAGCTTGTGTGATAAACGACATGACGAAAGGTCGAGCAGGTAAGACGACCTTAAAAATTAAATGATAATAATGCAAAAAATCTCATTAGCGATGCAGGCTATTTGCTTAGCTACTGTGTCGCGCGTTGGAGGGAGGCGAGGCCACGCCCCATAAGTTTTCCTATATTCGGTTTTACTCTATATTTACATAAATATGATTTATATATCATCTGTATGTAAAAAATGTATTGTTTACAAATATTTTCTTCGTCTTATTTTTCTTTGTTCCACTAGATGAACAATATTTTCATTATTTAACCAGTGTAACAATAGCTTACTTTGTTTATTTTTTTCAAACGTATAATGTGTTAATTGAAGTGAGTGTTGGACAATAGTACATTGTGCCACTAGTGTGAGAAAGAAGATATGTCTCGAGCCTGGAGTTTGCCGTACACTTGAGTGAAATCTCCTTTTTTGACCAATAGTCATACATAATATTTTATTTAACTATCACAAAGAATTTAAAGCCAATTTTATTTAATATTTTGAAACATAAACTTAAATTTGACAGCGGTCAAGCAACTTTAACCTCACTTTTTACCAATTTTAACTTAAATATAACTTAAACCCTTGGGCGAAATTCTATTTTGCCCACTAGTGGGAGAAGTAAAATTTTGCCCACCGGTTTAAGTTTAGAAATTAAATGGGGGCGGACATACGACTTGGCAGTTCGGTGCGGTGCCCGGGGTCCCTAATCACATAGGGGGCCTCGGACATAAAGAAAATTTTTAAATACAAAAATAACAAATAAATAATAAATAAACCGTATTTTTACGTTAAACGTATACCGGGCAGAGTGCCGAGCGCATCCGAACACCTTAAAAGAGAATTGGAATATTTTGCACCGTTCGAGATCATTTTGCTTATAATTACAAAACCCAAATGATGCTCGAAGGGGGCAAAATATCACCACTCTCTTTCAAAGAGTTC